TTTCGTGAAGAAGTCTAACCATCTCGTTGGCGACCGTCCTGGATTCGTTTGATGTCCCGAGGGATCCAGTCACTAACCGCTCTGGTCCAACGGTCATCAATATATCGCATAACGTGTCCGGCCCACCTGATCTTCGATTTCTTGGCCTAGTCAACGGCCCTGATCTTCGTTCGTTCACGGAGCTCGGAACTCCGGATTCCCTTCTGCACTGCGTGTACTGGGAATTTCCGAGCATCGTCCTTTCCAAAGCGCGTTGAGTGACGCTGACAGCATGCTCATCCTGCTTTCGTAGAGTCCAGGTCTCCGAGGCGTACGTCAAAGCAGGAAGGACAGCAGTGTCGAAAAGGTGAGCGCGGAGCCGGATGTTCTTTGTCTTCTTCACTACTCTCTCGATATTCTGGAATGCTCCCCACGCGGCGCGTTTCCTTCTGCATAGCTCCAGAGCTAGGTCGTTCATCATCTTAACTTCCCGACCTAGATACACNTCGGAAAGCCTTTCACCCTGCTCATTCCATTCCACTCCGTGAGTCCCGATGTGAGCTCTTCAGCCGTTCTTCTGGGGCCAACCTTGGCGTTAAAATCACCGACGATGACCTTGAAGAAAGTGTGGTCTTCTCTGTAGAGCCTCTCCAGATCCATATAAAACGCTTCCAACTCTTCTTCTTCGTAGCTCGATGTTGGTGCGTAAGCAACGAAGATGGTTAGAGCTGTGATTGAGCCACATCTTCTCGCAAACTTCCGATTCGGGTTGTTAAGCCTTCGTACGAATGGATGTTCATGGCCAAGTGCGTGTTGACGAGGACACCTACACCGCCGACGCCTCTGCTGTCGCATGTTCCAAGGAACAGTTCTTATCCAGTCTCGAATAAAGCGTGCAGAGGGCGATGCCTTCTCGTCTCGGTCATTCCGCTGACGTCGTTCTTGATCTTTCTAGCTTGCATCATCAGGTCTACTATTCGCGCTTACGATGCAAGCGTCTTTGCCTTAAAAGTACAGTTCGCCATCTTAGCCCTTCTCCTTTTGTTCGGCCTGCTTTAGCCCTGAGATTTTAGCAGCCTCTCCCGAGCGGTCCTACCCAACGCTGCTGTATTGGGGGCTCCCTCAAGTTCAGGGGAATGAGGCTCATTTCTATTACTGTCTTCGGCTTGTAGATATCCAACTCGCAGCTTGCCAGGCTCTGACGTGGGGTCTGTTGACGCCGGGGGCTTGCCAGGCTATCCCGAAGTGGACGAGGGGCTTTGTTTTTGGAGGCGGCCCCGAATCGCCTCCCAAGTACTTCCCAGTCACTCGAATGCAAGCTTGGCCGAGTCGATGGGCAGGATACCAACTGCACCCATAGATCCTCCACACCCGTATGCGTGGATGCGCATGCGAGAAACAGAGGGCATATCGACCCAGCGCAGCAGAATCAATGAGTCCATCCCCTGAATCCACCTGCGTCTCTGGGCAAGTACCGGTGACTTTTGGTCGGCGATTAATTCCCCTATTCGCCACCTGGGGACGCCCTACGTAGCCTCGTCTTTAACCGGCTGGGGATCCTTCACTGAGAGAGAACTCAGTGAAGGAGATCCATAGACTCCTTCACTGAGTTCTCTCCCACTTAACCTCATAGTTAAATTTTTCTGAAAGGGTATGTCCTCCCCTAAATCCATGTTTGTGTTCTGTAACCATCGTTTACAGTCTGTCTGTATAGGACTCGTGTGAAAATTGAGGGCCATCACGTGCATTTCCGGCATCTTATGCATTTCTTCTATCTCAACTGCAAGAACGCAGCTCAAGCCGCAAGAAAGATTTACGACGTTCGAGATGCTATACGGGAGCGTTCAGTACGCGAGTGGTTAACGAAATTTGAAAAGGGTGAATTCACCTTCGAAGATCCTCAACCCTCAGGGAGGCTATCATCAGTTGAAACGGACCAAATCATCATCTTAGTCGAAACGAGCCGACGCATCAAATAATTAACCATCCATTATCATCTGCTGGAAGTTAGATTTGTTAGATACCTTGGTCTTTGGGTACTTTTGCCTACCTTGGATTTCGTCCTTTTCAACTGATGATAGTCTCACGAACTGAGCGAGCGCAGTGTGATGGACTACTCCTCCAGGCTGCTCAAACAAAACGAAAATTAGCTGTTTCCGAAACGCATGAGAACGTGGGGCGGAAAATAGGTCGTGTTCAATAACGTGGAGCGGATACGATCGTAGAGCCTTCGCAGTGAGTCGTCGCAGACCACTGCAAAAGTCAAAAGCCAAGTTCGAAAGGTGATGCTGCGTTGCTGGTGGGATCAAAAGAGAATAACTCATTATTAGCTGTGGCCGCACTATCGAACGACAACTTCGGAAGGGTCTTGTCATCAGCTAAACAACTTGATGGCAGCGATGGGCTAGAAGCGCCCAGAACTGCCAATCGTAAGGACGTTGTCCTCCAACAGAATAACCCCGGGCCCCACATTTTTTGACCACCGGTCAAAAACTGCTGGGGCTTGGGTGAGGTGTCCCACCACACCTCCATGTAATCCGGACAAAGCATAATCAGACTTGTTCAGGTTTCTGAAGAATTACTCATACTATCATTGACGGAAAATCGTTCAATTCGCTGGAGGGCTGAAGAAAACGCCTGGAAGGGGTTTTCGATTCTGAGTTTGAATCCCTCTTTGGAGGTGGGATAGTGAGACTTACGGAAAATGGCAAGCCTTCACTGAACAGAATGTAGCATATATTATTCGATGAGTGGATTTGATCTTCTGGAAATTTTCAAAGAAAGCTCCGAAATCGTGGAAACTTTCCGAACTTTCCATCATGTCGATGAACGACTTTCTCGATCTCGATAGGATCAAACTATGACATCTAGAGAACCTTCCACCAGTTATTGATGGAACTCTTCGCGCGGTACCTGTCGGAGTGCAAAGAACCCACGTCGTAGAAAACTACCAAGACTGTGACGATGTATAAAAGAAAGGTCCCGACGATGATGGCAGCTATCACCTAATCTGCCTGCTCTGTAATCTACAAACTTTTAACTTTTAGTCATCCTCAACAGGATTGGTAGAATATTAGAAGGACAGCCTTGTGAGCAAGCAGGGATTCGGAGATGGTTCAGCACAGTCAATGACATCCACTTTTCTACAAGACTCTTTAAAGTATTGCGAGAGTACGGGATGGTGTTATGTCTGTAGCTCATCGATTTGAATACTGTCAAGGCAGAGGCTTAACTGAGGTGTCGGTGAGTCAGGGTGCTCCGACTCAATATCAAAGGATTCTTTCTGACCTCTGCAACAACTAAACCACCATCAGGATTTCGCCATTTCATAAGAAACTCCCTGTCAACGTGACGAGGAGTACGGCAGAGCCGTGCCACCTCGTCCGAGCTTTTNAATGTCGCTCTTGAAAACATCATGCCCGATCAAGAGTGGGAAGACTTTGGAAAGAGTGCTTACATAATCTCTGCTTTGCAGGCGACGTCTTGCTTATAGCACCTATCATCGAGTAGGCGGAACGAATGCTGGCCGAATTCGACAGCGCTTGTGGGAAACTAGACTCAAGATTGAACCTAACGAAGATCATGTAATGAGAAGCGGATTGGTACCTGATGCTCCCTTGACACTGAATAGGACGAATATCTCTGAACGTTTAGCCACGTGTACTTAGAACGAAAAGTCATCATAATGAACGATCTGGCTTCAGAGCCGGACAGAACGAGATGCGCCGGGGTATATTTAAGAATATTGAGGGAGTAGAGTAGAATACTGAGGACATCCGCCTACGCGCTCGCATTTTCGACAGTCGACGTACCCTTCGGAGTCATGGACTCTACAAAGCAGGATGAACGTGCCGTCAGCGCCGTTCAACGCGCTGTGCAGAGACGACGCTTAGGATCCCCTATACACGCATGCGCAAAGGGAATCCGAGGTTCTGAGTTTCGTCAACGATCGGAAACCATATGCTTACACCAAGGAATCGTAGATTAGATGGGTCGCGCACGTCATGCGGTAACGTGAGAACCGTGGATCAGGGTGATTACTGACTGGATCTCTCAGAAGGTCAAACTAATGCCAGGACGGTCGCCAGCGCGGTGCTCAGACTTTTTCAGGATAGTTCAGAAGTATGGGGATGCTATGCCTCGTGTCCCTCAAGCGAGGACCATCCAAGGGCCACTCTGAGGGGCACTCTGGTTTGCGAAAGGGACGAATGGACAGTGCTAGTGCCCGCTCGAGAGAATCGATGATCAACGGGACGACACTTTACAGTTGATACCCCATTCTATTCAACAATCTTTCCTTGTTAACCATCTTTCTGGGAGTTTCGTAGTTCATCTCTCGTATAAAGGCCCACTATATGAATGAAAAACTGTTTCAAGTGCATTTTGTAGTCCTTCAGAGAATCGAGCGATTTCTCACAAAACAAATGCTGCAGAGATCTGAACAAGTTTTTGTTTTATGGTGATATATCCGAGCTATGCTTGACTTGGTAAGAAGTTTGGCCTGAGCTACAGTAATTTTCAAGGAATCGTCAGAGGTACGTGTTTGGAGTCGCCTGATGGAGGACCACAGCTTCTACGATTGAGTAGATCTGAGCGCTTCTGCTCTACTGCTGCTTTTAAATTGTCCGGCTGAATACAGTATATTTCAAAGAAAATCTATCGAGTGTGAAAAGATCTATCGCAGCAGCTCATTCCAGTCCCACCAGCAATAGAGGCAATCTCTAGCGCATGAGTCTCCGTTTGTAGAGTGGTTAGTGGCGGTCCTCCACGATGACTTACCATCGTTTTCGCTCGCTGTTATGCACAAGCCATTCTCATCTCACGTCACTATGCGTCTGGGAAGATACTGACTTTCTGTACGCGGAAACGCGGTCCACCAAGCTGCGCTCACTCATTTTTTGTGGTATCCAAATATAGCGGCCGCCGAACCAAGTTCCATCAGATGAGAGTGAATAAACAAATTCAACACAAATGTCTTTCCGTAGTTCATGAATAGTTATGCGCCGATTCGTTACGACAACATTCTGAACTGGACGTTATCAACTGATGATGGTCTTCTTGGCCGTATTTTCGAGAGTGATTCAAGAACCTCTCACAATTAGTTTTGCAAACTTCTCGCGCACTGTAAGTTTTGATTGAGCATTGTCTCCATAAAGATCATGTGGTCTTTCCGCCGTGCTGGCTCTTGCTTTTGGAAAGAGAAAAGCATCAGGTGTCGGAATGCTCTCGATGGTCCTTCACTTTCAACCCGGCTCTACATAAATGGAACTCAAGTAATTTCATCACACCTCAGACGAATTACATAAGAATGCTGACCTTTTCTCAAAGCATATAATTTACTACCATTTGCGACCGCGCCTTTTAAGTGTGTCTGGCGTGTGGGACCGAGCGCGATTTTCGCGGGCTGCTGCTGTGCCCGCAGGCGCACCACGCGGTCCCAGGAGCAATCCAATTTTTTTGCGAGTTGTTTTCCTGCGATGAAGTTCTGTAAAATTTCGGGGTAGTAGTTGTAAGTTATCCACTATTTGTCATTTCCCGTTCTTTTGTTGTTTTCTAGGTGGGAATGTTCTTTCAAACCATTTTTGAACCTTCGTAGCGGGTGGAATCGAGGCCCCAGCAGAATACGAAAGCGTTCTGTTCAGACACGAGGGATGGATTTTCTCCTTCAACCTTTGATGGACTGGCTAGAAGTAGATAACATCGTTGTAATAATTTTCAAAATCGGTTGGATTAGCCCAAAGACTTCAGGATGATGAAACATGTAGTCTCTACTACGGGAAAAACCGTCTCGCAACATCAATACCTTCCACAAGATAAAAGAGAGTACGATTGCCTGCAAAATAGGGGCGGCTTTACATGCTTGAGATGGAAGGATAAGAGAGAAATTAGCTTTGCATGGGGGTAAATAAATCGATCGAATAGTTCCATAGCCGTTGAAGGGTACGAAAACCCAGAAGGATCTGTTGATCGAAGCCTTCAGATCTAAACTGGATGTCGGCTTATTCTCCAGTTGTGCATCGCACCCCAGGACGGTATCGAAAGTTTCCTTTCATTTTTCACGCAGAGCGATTGTCGTGATTTCTACAGAGTTTTTGTGGCACATAGGAAGTGGTAACTCCAACCAGCATAAGGTGAACCTATAAAATCCTGCTTTCAAAATGTTCTCGGCAAACGTTTCTCCTCAAAAGAACCTACATGTCGGGAAGTGAGCAGTCGGAAAGAGACTGTAGAAGATGCACTGGCTGCTATAAGGAGCATCACGGAGAAAAATATCGCGCCCATCAATCATGGGAAGAAGTACACTTCAGAGCAACAATGCCACGATTACCTTCATTTTGTTTACCCTAAAGTGCCATAGATAAGAGCGGGTGAACCTACCGGTGAAAAATGAATTGGAAAAAATCGAAATTGAATGCAGTCACCNGGTGACTGCATTCAATTTCGATTTTTTCCAATTCATTTTTCACCGGTAGGTTCACCTGCTCTTATCTATGGAATTTTAGGGTAGTTCGGTTTTTCATAACTGAAATGAAAGTTGGAAGGAAGGGTTCAGATTAGTCTAAATTATTACAAGAAGTATGTGTAGCGAAACAGCGAAACAGTGAAAACATTGTTTCCTTGCGTTTCTATAGTTGAAAGCAAAAGTTTTTGGACCACTGTGCTTCAAGTTCCTCTAGAAGGCCATTGACATTGCTGTTACTTGAAAGCGGCAAAAAACGGTTCGGAACAGTAAAAATACTTCTGTGGCCCGTATACGGGCCAAGAGATCGTCAATGGGTCAATGTTGTTTTAAAGACTTTCTAAATCAATAAATATAATGCATCAAAGGAAACAAAGTTCCTAATGTGGTTTCATTGCAACCAGGAGCTGGAAAAAATGAGCAATGGTAAGGAATGGGACGACAAATGAAGTAAGTAGACCCACTTACGGTGAGCGGAGCGTTCTTTAAGAGGACGGTACATACTGCATCCTTTCATAATTGGATTCAGTGTAAGCTTGGATACCAAACAATAGTGAGAGCAGGCAAGGTCAATTATGTGCTGAGCATCTGAAACTTCGCAAAGCTCCATCTAGATGGGCGGTAGTACACGCAAAAAAGAGACGCTTTTCAAAAAGTTCCTGACTCTGTTTACAAGCGTCCCAATATTCGGAAAAGAAGTGGCTGAATGCTATTGAGGGAATGGGATCAAATCTTCGAAAAAGGCCTGGTCGCACTGAAGGGACAGGCTCAGTTTATAAATTCATGGGCCTGTTCGAGAATGTCCTAGAAGAGGCAGGAAAAAGTTTAGAGCTATTGGTGGGGCTTCATAAGTGGCCGGGGCGTGCACTGAGATGGGCGCAGCTAAGATAAAATCAGTCATCCACAATTCTGTTCAAACCTTCCATAATGCGGTAGAGTGGTTAAAAACTACCGAAAATGTTGGTAATTTTTCGAGGTGGGGGGGGGGGGGGAAGGAAACGTGGGCGGAGTTGTGCAGATCTGTGATAAAACACCCATGGATGGTTATTTACAGATCTGCATGGTGGGCGGGCCCAAGGGTGAAAATTTACAGCTCTGTCTAAGAACGTTTCGGAATCGTAATTTTTACTCACTTAAATGAATTCTTCATCATTGCTCACGAAAAGTAAAAAATTCGTTCGCGTCTGTCCATTTGTCATGAAATTCTACATTTCATTAAGATGCACCTGAAAAGTTGCGGTCAAGTTTTGTTTCGACATGGCATTGAGCGAATTGAAAAGAGCAAACAAGAGTAAAGCTGAGCTTTACACACGGAGGCGGGACTCACATCGGAATGGGAGGTGCAAAGAGCAAAATTTCTTCATTTTGAACAGCCCAGCCACCGGGAAAATTGGCTGGTTTGAGAAATGGGTCGACAAACAAAACAGAGGAGACGTACCCGTAACGGGCGCAGGCAGGCTTTCCAATGGGCTCGGCTGTCCACATAAATTCATAGTTTGATTTAGACACAGCCCATGTGCCAGCTCCTCGGGACGTGGAGGGGTGGGAGTATGGGAAAGGGGTGTTGAGCGTAGATCAAAAAGCCGATAACACGGTTTGGTGCATCCTTGGTGTGACGCACGCGTCAGTGCACGTAGCCGAATTGGTTAGTTATACGTTACGTAGATGTAGGTGAAGCGGTGACAAGAAAGAAAATCACATTGAAACGAGAATTTTGCAGGAGATTTTCTGAATACAGAGCTTGATTTCCTTTACCAACGTGCTCGGCAACTGGCTACGAATCTGCCAATGGGCGAAACACGTCTGACTGGATTTCAAATAACCGCTGAAGAACTTCGAGGATCACCATTAGCACCAAATTTGTTACCACGTTAGTCATTCCTGATGAACTCGTCACACTTGGTGATTTTGATCGCAATTTGCAGTTTTGATGAATTTCCGCTTGTTTGGAGTTCCACTTGAGTTCGTTAACCTGCTCGTAGCTCTCATCGCCTACGCCTGTACATATCCTGCTGTATTCTGGCGTGTTTCGAAACCATTCAGGTGCGAGGTTTTATCTTTTTATGCTTCTATTCTCGCAACGAAAGTAAATTATTCTGTCGCCATTTGTAGAAATCCCACAGTTTGCTTTCTTGGAATTTCCTTCTGTTTTTTTTTTCATTAAAAAATGAGCCGAACACATGTAGATCATGTTTCAATGTTCTAAATGAAGGATTAGTTGTAATCGTCTGTTCCCAAATTAAACCATAGCGAATCGCTGGAATATCTGCTTGAAGCTGGCTTCTGATTTCATGAGATTTACATTAGTGGATTAATGTTTGATGAGAATGCGTAATGACTAGCTAATAAAATGGATAGGGCATTCAAAGTTTGGCGTAAATACACTCTGTTTGCCTTCAAAATCATTTTTCCGGTTTTCAGCTTAATCTTCTCTTTCCATATGGTCGTTTATTGTGTTGCGGTGATCTGGGGATATCTGGGATTCAGCATACTGTTTAGAATCCAGGAAACCAACTACAACAGCCTTCGTCCCCTTGGACTCGGTAAGTGCAATAGTAGGAGACGGATTTAGATACGAGGATAATAGTATAGCGTAGGCGATCGGAACCTTCACCATGAACGACATCTTCGACGCATTGTTCTTCACACAGCGTAACTTGCATGCCATTCGGCCCTGCCAACATCACAACCGTGATGTGGTAGCCACCCACCTGAGTGGCACCTTCGATGTGACTTCATAGACTTAGCAGAACCGTGGTTTCCCGCTCTTTCTCTTCTTCTTCTCCCACGTGTCAATCCCGCGCCATCACATGGCCCGTCTCCACTTCAATCCATCTACGTCATTTATCGTTAGGTTTGTCTTGAGGAGGTCCTTCTCAACACAGAAGGGTTCCATCTTCCCATCGAAATTCGAATAGAGACTGCAATTGAGTCTACCAAAAAATTGTAAGCGTTCAAAGTTTGCATACTTAAAGCAAAGGGAGATAGTGCCAGTTGATAAGCGCAGTTGCTCGCAATGGCCACAAGGGTCACCGTGGCAGTGGCAGTGCTCTCCTTCTCCATATTTGCGATGAGTGTTAGCTCTCTATCGTTGTTTTCGCTTTTGCGAAATATGCTTTCATCCGAGTAGAAGCTCCTCAAGGTTTTTTACTAAATTAAGTCAGCACTTTGCTTCGACTATCATTTGCGACCACCTATCTATCCCCTAACACCGTTTTTTTGTAATTTCTTTAGGTGGAGAGGAAACCAGAATCACTTGAAGCAGATATGCGTGAAAAACTGAATATTGATGAAACAATCCAAGAGATGAATGAAGCAGATATGTTGCCCACAAAATACGAACCTCATATGCATATACGGTCTCTATACAACGTAAATAAACCACACAATCGATTCGAGACCAAAAGAATACACGTTTTTTCAACCCATTTTTTGGGTTGTTTCACCGATGTTTTCTCGCGCTCTATGTTTCGAGGCTGTCTCACTCTGGGTATGGGTACGTGTGTCTCAATGTCGGGAATCAAAGAGCGTTACAAAAAAAAGGCGTGGGGAAATTTTAAATAAGTGAGGTGATAGGTGATAGATAGGAGATCGCAAATGATAGATGAAACAAAGCGCTACCTTAAATTAGTTGGAAAAAACGGCTCAGGAGCTTTTATTCGAATGTAAGCACGTTTTTCAAAAGCGAAAACGACAACGGGATGCAAACCCTCGGAGAGGGAGAGCACTGCCACTACGCCACGGAGAGCATGTGGTCATTGCGGGCAACTGCGTTTATCAGCTGGCACCATCTCTCCATGCCTTGAGCATGCAAGCTTTGAACGCTCATAACTTATTTGGTAGACTCATTTTGCAGTTTAATATCCATATTTGTTGATAACTTTCCAAGCCCCCTCGATTAACCTAGGCCTTTTCTCAAAATTCCATGGGAAGTTAAACCCTTCCTTGCTCACTCATATTCGGCCACATCTTCGTCGGGGCCCTCGTGGTCAATTCCATTGCCTCTATTCCATCAGGTGTCCGTACTTTCTTAGACGCTGCTATTCATGACTATTAGCACGTCCTGCCGTCTTCGCATCCGATCCGCTCCAATTGCGTCCAAGCAATGTAAGCACCCTCATTCCAGCGCGAAGAATCTTCCTTTTATGACTCTAACTTACAGGCCAGCACTCGCTTCCGTAGAGCATCGCGCGCTTGACCACCCTCCTGCCCAATTTTCTCCTTAACTCTTTCCCGTTGGTCGCAGAAGACACCACTGGACTCCCTCTATTTCATTGACCGCATTCATTCGAGTCTTTGCAGCCTGGTTCACAATTCCGTCGCAGGTGGGTCGCTCCGCAGATATCGGTAGTGCTGTACCCTCACGATGCATTCCCCGAGGCTGTCGATGATTGATGCGCCTTTCTCGGAGCTGTGAAACTCGAACTCTTCTGCATTCCACCGGAGTCTGTTTTTCGCCAGCAATCTCTGTTATTTCCGTAGCTTGTCGTGTAGTTCTTTTCTGCTCTTCGCTATCAGAGCGATGACGCCAGAGTAGAGGATGGTCTTCAGCTGTCCATCCATGAGTTCTTTTTGTGATAACATCTATCGTCAGCAGGAAGAGAAACGGACTCGAAGCTAACCCTTGTTGTAGAGCAGCCTTGGCATCTTTTGCTTTTGTTAAGCGCATGACCGATAGTGGAAATGGACGCCTTCCCTAAACTCTCTGATCTTTCCTCCTTTCCTGCAAGTGCAATGAATGCATAGTACATGAATGTATCTGCGCTTCATTGGAGGAGCAACCTCTCGGAATTTCCCACTAAGCCATCCCACGTTCTGAGTTGCATTTCAAGCTGGCTTTTTTGACCGAGGTCGTTCACTCCACGGTAGCCGACACATTCTCTCCACAGAACTCGGGTGCGCATCTTGGGCGCCACTCCGGGTGATGCTCAGCTTTGTAATCGGTTGTTATTGAGAATTTAGTCACGTTCGACTTGATGTTTTGTTTACTGCTATTATTTCACCGCAGTACGCGATACGAGTCTCGCAAGGTTGGCGAGTTATGAACAATACTGTGGCCTCTAACGAAACTCGAAACCGTAAATGTTTTATCCGGGCACCATGCTCATATCGCTCACACTGTCGATACCCCGCTTGCCCTCGACTTTTCAAATTTCATTCTTTTGGTTGGGAAACTTACTTTCGTATGATAAATCCCCATAAGCTTGGCGAGTTATGGACAAAACTTCGGCCTAAGACGGGGCTCGAAGCCGTACTTTCCCTATCCGAGCAGCGTGCTCTTTTCCAGGTCCTACCTGTTAAGCTGACCTTAACGGTTCAATGCTGATATCGGCACCACTTTCTACGCGTGAGTTCTGATAAGCCATGGCATGTAAGCCATGAAGAAGGCGAGGGCAAGCGGGGTCTTGGTGGTGTAAGGAAAAAGAGCAGGGTGCTCGGATAGCACGAGTGCGGGTTCGAGGAGCCCGTTCCGAGACTGATGTTCTGTCCACAAATCGCCAGCCTTGTGAAGCAAAAAGGAAGATTAGGTTCCATAACTAGGGTCCGATTCAAAATCAGAAATGAAGTGTGTAATTCATATCGAAATCAAGAGAATTAGATATGTAATTTTTCAGGACAATATCTGGTGCAGTCACGAAATTGGCCCTTTTATCATCCGCATGCTATAGTTGGCACATTCGTCGCATCGTTGATGTTAATGATAATGGCACCGATTGCTCTCTACTCCTACGGTTACAATAAGTATTTCGTAAGATTTATCTCTTATTTTTAGTTCAGATCCTCATGCCCTTAATGCCCTGCCCTGGAACTATCCTTATATGGTAAGGATTCTGAGTCGCAGTAGCCGTTCAAAAGGAGGTCTATACCCTTTTGATATATACTTTTGATGTACACTTTTTGTTTTTGAACGCTGGTGTTAAATCCACATCACGAATCCAAAACATTCTGGGAACAAAGTTACGGAAATAAATCTTCCCTGTGATATAGGGTTTTGCCAAGCATCTATCGAGGTCGAGTTGTTAAGCCAGATGTGAAGCTATAGCGCAACAGGTACGCGCTGAACTTGAAAACGTGGCATGAGGGTTTGCATCCAAAGTGCTGAACCTGTTCGGTATTTTTTTAAATGTATGCTAAAGGCTCGCAAACCAGTTTCACATTTCTCGTTGACTACCTGCAGCGCATCCTAGCCATAAGAAATACCGAAAATAATCTTTCATGAGATGCTATAATGCCCTTTTCGGTCTTCAAGGGTTTCCAATGCACTATAGTTGTTATCATTGCTGAAGTTCAATAACATGTGTTCAAAATAAGTTTTCTCTGTGTTAGTTAGCTTGTTCCGTTCGGTGCTCGTGTAATGCCACAGGAGCCTAGTTTTTTTAAACAAGAACTATTTCACCATTTTTCACCTCCTGATGTTGTTCCTGTCTCGCGAGCGCTGAGAGAGACCGCAGTTCATCACTCCATGTACACGTCGAAGGCTTTTTCCGTTTGGTTTCACTCAGTCCAATCACATGATATGAAATTCGTTGTGATTCTTCAATCAAGTTTGTGAGCTGAATGGCCGTACTGACACTCCTGCAGTTATAAGTGCAGTGATCAGGTGGCTCATTCTTGTCCTTTTCCTATGGTAGCCTACGGCCCTGAGATTTCTTCGCCTTTGACTGTGTGCTGATCCAGCGCTACCGGACTAGGCATGGACAGTCTGCAGGGGACTAAGGCNAGTGGCAGAAGTGGTCGTAGCGTTTTTCGTCTCACAGGATAGCCTTGCTGGGACGTTCCTGTTGCTCGCCGTCTCACTATGAGCTTGAGCACTTCGGGTTCTTTGGTCACGAGAGCCGATCAGAGAGTTCGGCGGGCCTTTCCCTTGCGGGATCCCGGTCTCGCCTCAAACCCGTACACCGCGACAAGGTCGAACCCATGTACGGGCAATCATGAATGAAAAGGATTAATTTACTTCGGAAGAGAATCTCTCAACATTTGTTTTCCTGAAATCTTCACGAGACTTTTCTAGTTTTTTTTAGCTTTTATTAGAGTGTTGTTTTGGCGGAATCACCTTTTTCAGGGACTGAAAGAATCGTAACTATTTGTGAAAATCCGATCAAAACTGCCCCACTGAAATTCGAGACTTCCAAGGCATGCAGGTGATTGAAAGAAGGGCCACTCACCGTAACTTTGTGAATTCTTCGAAACCACCCAGCAACCGATGGAAGCAACCAACCATGACGGCTAGTGTGGTTCTTCACTTGAAGTCACCGCGGGACGGCCAACTTCATATGAAGCCGCAGCCTGATAACCCTCGACTGAAACAAATAAATTGCAAGATCAAAATGTTTCTGGATCTCCTTGGCGCACTGCATCACCGTGGTTTATGTGTTGAAGAAGCTCTTTACAAAAATGTCAGCAATGGATCTGCTATGGAAGCCGTAGTCGAGCTCCTTAATCAGCACAAAACGACATCAATATGCTAGGGCTGTCTGCATCCCAACTGATGACACTTGTGAGGGAGTGCCTCATTTGTAACATTTTCAAGTGGTCTGAAGGTATTGTATTTTGCACAGACTAGTGGCTTGGCTGTGGGACAGCGCTTGGCACCTGTTTTGGCCATAGCATTTGTGGCCAAGATTGAAGCGTCGCACTGGACTACGTCCCCTTACTGTACTGCAGGTATAATATATCGATGGCTGCTTCACAGTTTGTACGACATAGGGAAAAAATTAGGTTTGTTTCCAGACCTGTTAAACTCACAATAAGAGCACATCAGGTTCAAGCGAGAAGAATGACAGGAAATTGACTCCCTTTTCAAACATTTTTAAGCGAAGTTGGTGGGCAATGTGATTGCTACGAGAAGGTAGAGAAAGGTCAAGAATAAGAATGTCATCGTCCAATACGACTCGGCTCATCCTTTTAAAATCAAGCAAGCAGTTGTTAAGAATATATTCTCACTGCTGATGAGGTTTGCAGTGGAGAGTGTGAGCGAAAAGAGTTGCCTAAAGTGGCACGCGGTATAGCTCTAGTGGGGTTACTGCAATTCTTTGACCACACGTAGAGCTTCTTCTGTGCGATCCGCAGGCATGGTATTACCTAACAGTCGTAAGATTTCTTTGCAGTACCATTTATTTCTGAATAGTTCATTGCCACCATTACGGGGTGTCTAAAATGATCGGGTCTGAAAATTCAGTTGCTGGTATGACGTTCCACTCTCCGATCTAGAGAAGCGCCTGGTTCGGTACAGGTTATACGATCGCCTACATGCAATCTTAAATTGTATTAACTTTCCCGCTGGCAGATAGGGTGATTGTAGCATGTCTGAGGTGGTCTACAAGATCACTTGTCGTGATTGTGGTATTGAGAATACTGGCAAAACAGCAAGACCACTCCATATGAGGAGCAAATAAGCAGAGAAGGCATGAAACTATTGAAGCAGTCTACGGCCTTGGGGAATCAGCGAATTCGAAAGCATAACGGAGCGTTTCCAAGACCATCGTGGCAACGGAGTCGCAGTTGTTCTCGCGAAGAAACCCTCGAGCCGATTCGGATACAGGTCGCTTATCGATTAATAATAAAAATGCCTCGCAATTATGCGGGACTTGCGGAGGTTGGGCTTCTCGTGGATAAAGAGCTACACTAGCCGACAATGTTTGGCACTACCATCAATTGCTGGGTGGTCTCGAAGAATTCTAAAGACTACGGTTAGCGGTTCTCTTTTCAATCACCTGCGTGCCCAGGGGATCTCGAACTTCGGTATGGCAGTGGAGAGTTCAGTCGGATAATCAGAAATTGCTACGATCCTTTCAGGCTATGAAAAAGACTATTCCGCTGAAACGTCAGCCTAATAGAGCTCACATGCGAACCTTGTGAAGAGTTCAAGAAAACAACTCAGTAATACAGCAGTTATGTCGAGGTTATTAGAAAGCTGTGCTTCACTAACAATGCCGATGGTACGCGGAAATTGTGGATTGTACCCTTCAAGAAACGCTCATTATTGACATTCTTGGCTCACGTGTCATCTTCTTTCGTTCACTTAGACGGCACTGATTCTCGGATCCCTTCTTCGCTTTTACCGGAAAGTAGTCATCATCGCTCATTCAGTGTATAACCAGGTTTGTAAGCTAGACATTCAACAGCAATGAACACAACTGAGCTGCAGAAGGTCTCTAGTGAAGAAGAGTGGCAGAAAAAGGGTTGCTTTTGTATGTATTTTGTACAACCTTCAACAAAAGAGTCCAGTTAACCGGTGGATAGGAACCAATATCTGACCTTTACTGGAAAATTCAGAGTTGAGCGGGCATTTACCATACACACTGGCTTGTGATAGGCGTCACAGCTGAATTTTTGATCAGTGACGAATGAGATGACCAGAGAATCGTTTTTGGCCTAACCAAATGTTACATTGTCATGAGTGATGGCAGAAGAGGGACCTGTTCTTTGGACCATACGTGTAGCGAGAACCTTCCATGGACCCTAATGGCTTCCTGTAGATGTCAATAATGAGCGTTTCCTTGAGTGCAGCAAAAGTGATTTAAGTTGAAAATTCAGTCTGCCGGTCACTTATTTACTACCAGTGCGTCCTAAGACACTCCATATAAAGGCAACGGCTGGCATTCACACTGAAAACGCTAAATACGGAAACAATACCTTCTACCATTCTGCAGCGTCTGACTTTCCAAAAGTCTCAATCTGGAGATATTAGTCTTGCTGGTCTGAATTTCCCACAATCAATAAGGCGGTGAAATCCTTGGAATCCTGAAAGTACACTAATACGCTGCTGAGCAAGCAGTTTCTATACAATCAGGAGTTAAGAGAGAAAGAAAGAAGAGAAAGGGAGAAAGGAAGGAAGGAAAGAAAGAAAGAAAGAAAGAAAGAAAGAAAGAAAGGAAACAAGAAAGAAATAAGAAAACATAGGCAGCAGACAAGATCAAAAGTGGAAGAACCTCTTAGTTTCTGCTAAATCATTTTTTGTTTGAGGACCTTCCTAAGGAAGGTTTTCACTAGAGATTGGAGCTGGACGATCCATTTACCTATATAAGAAAGCGATACGGTTCGCTTCTAGAAGATATGCCGACGCAAGGAGTGAATTCTGTTTTCTACGAAAAAAAGTGCTGCTGGTGATGGAACTGCACAGTTACTGCGAAAAACGCTAGGTGCCGACCAGACACAGAAACTTGCTGAACTTTTGGGGCTATATTGGCTCGCATTTCGCAAGGATCGCACGGCAAGGATTTTCTCAGAACTTTGCGAGGTATGGTTGAGATGACTTGTCTCCATCTAGACATTCTTCTAGACTAGTGCCACCCAACCCCCAAATGTTTGATACTTTGAAAATTATTTGAATCATTTTGCTACACTCGAATCCTGTACACCGAAATTATTCGAATCGCGGCCCACAGAGCACCTCAAGAAGAGAAATGAACAGCATCTAGCAGCAACAGCAACAGCTGAAGCATCAGGCGAAAGTCACAGAAAACAGTGGTCAATATAGTGAACATTAACGTGTGAAAGAAATGTCGCCTGTGCCGCAACCTAATAATATAGGGAGTATTAGGTACAGTGGGTACAGGGTGGGCATCCGAGTTTGCAGGTGCCCTAAGGTCTTTGAAACTTACCAGGGAAGGGTTCCAACTTCCCAAGGAACTTCGAATGAAGACCTAGGTTTATCGATAGGGTTTGGAAACCCATTAACAAATTCAGCAATCAAATCTGCTAAATGAGTCTAGCAAAAAAGTTGTGAGCGCTCAAACATTCACGCGCAAAGCATGGATAGTGCCAGTTGAT